TATGCAACACGCAGGGGAAAAAAAAAAAAAAGAAAATTCAGTGTAAAAAAACCCACAACATGCACATAAAGTTCAATTTTTACACCCTGTGCCCTTCCCAGGCTAAGGAGCTTAATTCTAATTACATTCCCTCCCAATGCAAGGATAGTGTTCCAGGAGTCACTCAGCACCTCAGCTGGGCCAGGACAAGCTGGAGGTAACTGGAGTCCTCTCCTAACACAAAGAAGACACAAAGAACTGATGAAGCCCCAAGGCAGGTCCAGCCCCAAGGCTCTGATGGGGGTATCTGCCACTGTCAGAGCGCTGCAGTGCTGATGGATTAACTTGGCAACACAGGTTTAACTGGGTATCTCCAGGTCTTCATCTCCTGATCCGAAGGAAGCAGGAATATAGAATCAGAATCACCGAATGGTTTGGGCTGGATGGTCTGTCAAGGCTATCCAGGGACACCTTCCACTAGACCAGCTTGTTCCAAGCCCTGTCCAACCTGGCCTTGGACACCTCCAGGAATGGAAATTTCTTCCTCCTTGTCAAGAATCTGCACCAACCGGAATTTTTTGCAGAGTTCAACAGTCTCCAGCCAGTTGGGAACCTGCTACCAAAGCAGCAAGGACTTCATTTGATGCTTCATCCCCCTCTGGCAAACGCAAAACAGCCACGTACCGAAAGATCCAACCCTACCCACCCTGGCTGCCGACTGATCCAGGCACGAGGAGGTAGAAAAACCTGACCCAGTTATTTCATGGGAACATTGTACCTGTTTTAGCTTCCAGGAACTGTTTCTGAAAGCAAACCAGCCCCCGTGTTTTCGCCTCAGCGAGTCTCTCGCTGCCAGTGCACAGTCCTGCCTCAACCCAAAGTGTACCAACCGCATCGCCTCAGCTCAGGCTTCTCACCCAGTTATGACTAAGCCCTTTCAAAAAGAGAAACGCTTCAGGATTTCTTGCCTAATTGCTAAAACAGATTAATTTGAATATCCAGCACATAACCAAGCGGAAGAGAGGAATTGACACACCTAGCTGGTTCCTGCTGGGGCCGATGATTCGCTTTAATTGATGGGTCACTGTTTGGGGATGATTTCCACCGAGGAGCTGCAGCAGGGGCTGCTGGGCTCCCCTCCTGCCTGCTGGGAAGGGCTGCATTCCCTGCAGCCTTCCAAGCACCAGCGCTCTGGGAACTGATGCCGTCTTAAATTAAGAATGTAACCGATGCAAACCAACAGGCGTAACCTTCAAAGCTCGAGGTTTAGCTGCCACATGTCATGGAAAAAGAGCCCGTGCCTTCCCCACACATTGCCCCCCCCCAAGGACTAGGGACTGCATCTTTACCAAAAGGCCCCTTAGCTTCTGAAGTTTAGCTAAACCAGGTCAAAACTCCCACTGGTCTGGACTGTTCTAATCACACACACATATGACACTCAGGATGTCGGGAGCAGAGCCAAGAAATCAGGGCAGCTGAGCCCGGCCACACAGCGCCAAGCAACCCCCCCTCAACGCTACTCCAGTGGTTTTATTGGAGCCTTATCAGATTTCCTGGTGACTCAGACTCGGCTGGTGACCGGGGCGAAGGGCACGGCCGTTCCAGCGAGCACAGATGGGGTTACAGCTCCAGGCTGGGCCAGAATAGCAGCCAATGTCCATCAGACCCCTCTGTGTCCCACAAACCCCACTGCCTCGCAGCTCTCCTGCTCCCAGTGATACACAGACCACAGCTGTGCCTCTTCAAGGAGCAAACACAGAGGTGGCTGCTGGGCTCTTCCTGACAAGCCAAGGTGCTCTGCCAGCCCCACAAACCCCGTCTGAGTCCCCACAGGGTGCCTGGGCTGTGCAGCCCTCCATCTCCCTGCCACCCACACACTGCTGGGGACGGTGCAGTGCTGTGTCACCTCTCTGCTCCCTTCCAGCAGCAGGCACCTGCTCGCAGATCCCGTTTTCCTTCTTTCCTTTGGCACCTCCCCGCCCTTGCATTGGGGTGCCTTTGATTCCTGCACCCCCATCGTCTCTCTGCATCCCTTCTTGCCTTTCCTCTCCCGGTGCCAGCCTTGCCTTAGCTCCCTTCCATTTCTCTGCTCCCCGCTTTGCACTGCACCCCCTCACCTCCAGGTGCCCACACTCCCCCCTGCCCTCCCCTTTGCACCCCCCTCCGTGCACCCCTTCTCCCTTTCGTTCGCTCTCCCATCAGCACCCCAACTCCCCCTCTCCCCATTCCTGCTCCCTCACACCCCCTTTCCCCTGTACCCCACTTCCCACCCCCCGTGATCCCCCCTTTGCACCCCCATCCACGAACCCCTTTTCCTTTCCCTTCCCCTCCCTCTCCCACTGACACCCCCAAATCCCTCTCTCCCCATTCCTGACCCCCACATCCTCTTTTCCATCTCTTACCCCCTTGCTCCCCCATTTCCCTTCCTCTCCCTCTCCCACCGACACTCTCAACTCCTCCTCTCCCCGTTCCTGCCCCCCTGCACCCCCTTTCCCCTGCACCCCATCTTCTCCCCTTTCCTTTTCCCTTTGCCTTTCCCTCCCTCTCCCCCTGACACGC